AATAGCTGTCTTTGAGAGTTTTCTTGTAAACCACCCTGGATTTCTCAGAAACTTTTAATTTCAAATTAGATATTGATTTAATAAATTAGGCAGAAGAAACAAATGTATGTGTATGAGAGACAGAGAGAGAGAGATCCCCTTTTTGTAAGTTTGCTTACTCTGCAACTCCCTGCTGGCTCAATCTCTCTCTCTCTCTCTCACACACACACACACACACACAAACACCACACACACATCTATTTATAAATAAAAATGTAAATGTTCGTTTGTTCAAAATCTTAAATCTCCAAAAGTTCTTCACCGATTGCTTTGAAATTTTGACACAACGTTGCATTCGAATACGCACGTGTTTTTATATACCTACTATTATATAGATGTCACACCTGTGACAGGTAAAAACATGCTTTTTTTGAAAAACATCGCCATCTGTTGGACGTAAATTTAACCAGACTGAGCCACAGCAACGCGTGGCCAGGTACAGCTAGTAGGTTAATAAAAAAGAGGAGGGGGGAGAAAGGTGGAAGCTCTCCTTTTTTGTAAAACCTCGGCTTCCTCCTCCCCTCCTGGCTCTCTCGCTCTCTCTGTCTGTCTCTCTTACACACACACACACACACACACACACCCTTCCTGTTTTCTCCTCCCCGTCCTTTTCCTCAGCTGCACCTGAACGGAGTGGGAGGAAGTTAAAAAAAAAGAGAGAAGGGGTGGAAGAATGGGGGAAGCTCTCCTTTTTGTAACACCTCGGCTTCCTCCGCCTCCTCCTCTTCCACTCCTGACCGGGCCTGACGGGGTTAAGCTGGGAGGGGAGGGGCGGGCTAAAGCAAATGAGCTGCTGCTGCTGCACGCCACCAGCCCCTGAGCTGCTTGCTGTTTCCTGTTTCCTGCTCCAAGGCACCCAGCTGGGTTGCGGTGGGCCAGGGCTGGGGCAGCGGGGGGCCGGTCCCTTGCCATTTCTGGGACAGCCCGCCGCATCCGGCCCATGGGCCTTGTGTTTGACATGTCTGTGCTAGCAGATGCACATCAAGCTTCATTTCAAGCACAGGAACAGGAACCAGTAAATAAGAAGTTCTCTTAGACCATCTCTACTCACATCATCTGGCATGTTCTGCATCTGTTTGTTGCTGATAGGCTATCAATCAAATCATGGAGAACATGAAATGCCATCTTCTTGATGGCCCCACAGTTCTATATTCCCATCCTGGTTGAATTAGATCTCATTTGTTTGGTATAGGTATCTATGTAAGCTTTGAAGTCGCCTCTATTCCTGGCTTCCTTTAATTAATTAACCCTGTTTATTAGATAATTTTGGTTGACTCGTGTTGCTTTGTAAAAGCATATCTCTGAAACGTGGGTTATACATTGTTTTGAATTTATGAATAAATCTTTGGAAAGAATATTAGCATACAACCCATCAGAGACAAAAGTTTTCCAAACCAATAAATTTAGTAAAACCACAGTTCTAGTTTGCAGCTTCATTGAGGAGGAAGAATAAATGAGAGGTTGAAATGAGCTAACTGGGCACTCTTGGGATTAATACTTTAAGAAGTTGTTAATCCAAATATATCAGACTGCACTGCTTGTTCTATCCATAGAGAATCCTGTTGACTTTTAATGATCCCCCCCCAAAAAAAAATTAGCAAGGGAATCTAGTGAAATACACTGGAATATCTGATGTATCAAGGGTACGTTGCCAAGCGAACAGCCTTTGACTGTGTTCATATGACATTCTAATACAGAGCTACCAAATCTGAGTTGCAAAACTCTCGACAACCACACTTTCTGCTATTTAATATTGTTTAATATCATAATATAAATATAAATCTGGTAGCCCTACCCAAACTCATGCTTTTCTTCCCCATGGTTTCCTAAATTTACCAAATTTTATTGGATGATGTGACATAAGAGACCATTAACATAAATTATAATACAGATTCGCATGACGCATTAGGATATTATTATTATTATTATTATTATTATTATTATTATTATTATTATTATTATTATTATTATTATTATTATTATTATTATTATTATTATTATTATTATTTATTAAATTTATATACCGCCCTATCTCCCTTACGGGACTCAGGGCGGTGAACAGGCGATAATAAAACCACGATAAATATACGCAAGTTTCTGTTCTAAAATCAAATTAAATAACAG